ATGAAGGGTTAGGGCCAATAACTGCTGAAGCATCTACAAGCAAACAGAATACATCTGCGACACAGCTAGCTCAGAGGCCGTCGAATCTTCTGTCTCCATCCAAGGTCGAACCGCCTGACGCGAGAGCCGAAGACCAGGTTATTATATCCGACCTAGAAAGAAGCAAAACTGCCGATTGGATACCTGAGAACGGTCTCGTAGAAGGCAGTTCGTCTATTGGAGATCAAGACAGGGCCAAGGATATATATTCTCCACTGCCATCCACATTACCTCTAGGCTCTCCAACGCCGACTCCAGCACCAGAAGGTCGAACCATTCGCAAACGCTCTAAATCGTCAAACACGACCAAGAACGCATCAGAGACAGACTCAGACGCCCCACCGAGGAAAAAGGCGAGGAGAGGTACGCCTGCGGAGCCACGTCCTAGCGCCGTCAAGGAGCGGAGTAAGGCGTTCGAAGAGCTGGAATTCAAACCCGCGCCATCGTTCGCGAAGATCAGACGTGGTGCGGTCAATGCAGAGAAGAAGATCACTTCTATGGACGAGGCGGATGAAGAATCGCAGAGCATGATTTTGAGTAGTGATACGGAGATGCGATGTTCTGATCACGAAGGCAACGATGCCGATATGGAAGGGCACTACAGCGACGTTGAGGTTCCAGTGACACCCAGCAAGTACGTTCCTCCAGTTGAAGAAGTCCCCAGCATATCAAAATCCAGACAAAATGTCTCCCACCGTGAGCTTCAAGGTCTCAGCTCAATTCAATACCGAGATCGCCCTTCGAACGCGAAGCGAGACATGATACCTATCTCACGGCAGCTTTTCAAGCTGGACACACTGGGTAAGCTCAGGCCACGTGCGAACGCTTTCGAACAATCACCAGCCGTTCATGGCAACGACCACGACTTATTCGTCTCTGTTGAAGGTAGCGGTGCTACTGTTAGTACCCTGAAGATGGACAAACCTCCCATGGCAGAACCTAAAGCTACTCCAGAGCTGATGGAGAAGCAAGAGAACTCCAAAGCATTAGCAATGGTTATCATGGAGCGTCCCGATGCTCGTCCTGCAAGGAGACAAAAGAATGAACCTATGGAAGAGGAAGAGGAAGAGGAAGGTTTATTCCCAGCATCCGAGATAGACACAGCAAAGCCTGCTCCATTACCAGAACTTACCGCGCCTCCAAGAGGACTCTTCACGAACGCTCGCAGAGCAACAAGAACACGGAACGTTAACCAGAACGGGGACATCACGCCGGCGGCCGAAAATAATCCTGTTAAAGATAATAGTGGTTCACGCGATGATGATTCATCGTCTGGAATTAGCGAGCCTGGAGACGTTGAAGACCTTTCAGAAGAGCAAGATATCCACTTCGAGGACGCACAAGAGACCATTGAGACGCCTTACAAAGATGATGAAGCTGATGAAGACTACTCCGATACTTCCGTCCCAGTTAGTAAGAAGCCCAAGCTTGAGAGAAAGTCCTCAATGCTGGGCAATCAATCGCTCAGTCGAACGAACTCTCGCAAGGATACACCAGCATCTAGTGTTGCTTCCCCTAAAGCCGCACCAGCCACGAACAAATACGGTTTCAAGCCATCTCCAAAAGGCTCACGAACACCACGAACACGGGCAGGGTGTAAGGCAGCTGTCAGTTCTGCAGCGCCCACTCCTCTGGTGTCAAAACCAGTACCCGCCCCGAAGGCCAGGGTACCCCCGAAGCGTAAAGCGAAGACCACTTGTAGTAAAACAAAGGCGGATATGAAAGAGCATGAAGAAGCGTTACCCTTCGTATCCGATATCACAGCGAAAGGCAAGGCCAAAAGGTCTACCTCAGTAGCTACGGCTACTTCCGGACCATCAAACCAGCCTTCTGTACGTAAAACGCGTCATGCGTCCGCGATGGAAAATCAGAGCAAAACCGCGCGAAGAGAAGAGAGCAAAGTGGTGGAAGATAAAACTAAGGCTGCAGGCAAGGCAAGGCAAGGCAGAAAGGTTTGAGAGATGAAAATTGGTATCGGTAGACTGAGCATTGGACATTCGAGAAGACGGTTAGTCTTTGGCTAGCTAAGACAACGAAGCGTCTTGGCTACCTACGATTGTTGCACAAACAAGTCCGCCCAAACTCCGAAAACTCCGGCCCATATGATAATCAAGTGCACGTCCGATGAAGTAAGGAACAATCTAATCAGAATCTGAACGGGAATCTGCCCATCCCCAGGTCGAAATCGACATGTTTTGAAACTGTTTTCACTTGAGAATCTTTTGTTGAACTCTACTCTTGGTCGTGGCATTATGGCAGCAGCCTCCGAATATCTACCGAGCTAATGTACTATATAAGACGTCTTCATTCCTTCACTGTCAATTCAAGTCGCAGTATCAAGTCTACCGATCATACTTCTTACATTCAAACTCAACGTCTCTTATTTCTGAAGTTCAGTGATTTTGCACATGTCCAGCAACATGCCCTTCCCAGCTTTTGACCCAGCTCAATACAGCTCTCCCGAGTTTACGCGTTACGCTTCTGTCCACGCGAATCCTAAGGGCCCCGGCGATGCACGCCCAACTGCGGAGCAAATTATCAAAGATGAGGGTCTGAATGGCAAGCTTGTTGGAAAGACCATTTTGATTACTGGCTGCAGCTCTGGTATAGGGATTGAGACCGTCCGCGCCCTCAAGTTGACTGGCGCGCGCATTTTTGCTACAGTCCGTGATCTCGAAAAGGGCAAAAAAGCCCTTGGCGACATCCTTGAGCCTGGCAAGGTCGAGCTCTCCCACCTTGACCTCAACTCCCTCGCATCTGTTCGCAAATTCGCCGCCGAATTTCTGGCTGCCAGTAACAACCAACTCAACATCCTTATCAACAACGCCGGCATCATGTCCTGTCCTGAAGGCACCACTGAAGATGGGTTTGAACTGCAGGTGGGCACCTGCCACCTCGCGCACTTTTTGCTCTTCCAGCTCGTCAAACCTGCGCTTCTTGCCTCCGCCAAGCCCGATTTCCACTCACGCGTAGTCAGCGTAGCATCAATGGCACATCGCTATTTCCCCCCCAAGCTCGACAACTTCCAGCTCCGTCACGGCGAATACCACTCGGAGCATGCCTATGCCCATGCTAAGACCGCAAACATCTGGTTTGCAAACTACATTGAGCGACATTACGGGGCAAAGGGTCTCCACGGCCTATCGCTTCATCCGGGCGTCATCTTCACAGCGCTGGCCAAATTCATTCCAGAGGAGCAGTTTGCTGGTTATGCCAAGGATCCTGTGTTGGCCGCCACGCGAAAGACTCCAGAGCAGGGTGCTGCTACGACGGTGTGGGCAGCTGTGGCGCACGTGTGGGAGGGGAGGGGAGGCTTGTATCTGGACGACTGTCAGGTAAGTAAGCCGGTCGAAGAGGGGTGGGGACCTATGGAATCCGGGTACGTAGAGTGGACATATAACCCTGAGGGCGAGGAGAGACTATGGGTTATGAGCAATGAGCTTGTTGGGTTTAAGGAGGCGGGAGATAGGTAAGGCTATTGGTATAGGTAGCATCAATACTAGTGGTTAGAGGACGTTCAGTGTCTGATCACCTTGAACTGAGAAGCTACATATCGCACTTAGAGTGGTTAATGGGTTAGGTTTAGGTTAGGGGTGGTCAAAGCGTGGGTTGAGGTTGGGTATGGCATACCCATTTACCAGTCTAATTGCACTCGCAGCATGAATGGTACTAGAAGAGGGTAAGATAGCCACACAGTGATTTTGTAGCCACTAAGAAAGTAATGCGAAGATTCTCCAAACGATATGCTCATCGAGAAGGCAGGTCGCACGTAAACCCGAGTAGCGTCCATGCAATGTTTTTCATCACGGGGTTCTTATCAGATCTACTTCAATGCCGATAACGTACGACACAATGCGCTTGCGCCTTGCAAGCGCATGGCATGACACGAATAATAGAGATTGGGCGAGGTCAAGCCGAGATAGCACCGCGTGGATAATGATACTGGACTGACAGTTGCTGTTCATTCAGGGACGCCTTTATCGTACGTGCTCAACAGCCATTTACACACGAATATACTCACCTAACAGCGTAACCCTTCCTTCGTCGTCCTCCTTAGGTTTCAATTGATAGATTCTGGAATATCTTGCTAGCGATCATTACTAGAATTACCGACTTTGCATTGCCGGTGAATGTGGCGCCATAGGACAACGTACGACAACAACGATCGAAGATGCGCTGAACAAATACTTCTGTTCCCCTACTGCAGCACTATCGAGGTAGCCGACGACAAGGGCGTACCTGCTTCCATTGACCTGTTTCGTCTCGCAGTGATATGTCCGACTGAAACCGTATCGCTGGTTGTGGATCGCTTTCTCTGAACACGCGCTGCAGCAGAAAGCATGACAAACAGTTCTTGGAACAGTTTGTGACGCATCTGTTCGCCCTCCTCGTCATCACTGAAAAGCTCGAGCTCAATTGATTGTGCCTATGATTTACCTTGAAGGTATTCACGGCACTTTCCGATATGGGTCAAAGCAAGGACGTATGCCGTGCATCTTTAGGGTGCAGTACCACTGCATGGGTGTAGAGAGCCTTACTGTTACGACATACTAACGCTGTAGAGCCCAGCTACAAGCAGGTAAGGTACTGGAGACTCTCCAGGCTATTAGCGGCCTATACTAGCCACGATCAGATGCTATAGAAACATTTCATCCCCCAGGAGCTTGAATAGCTTATCAAGAACTTGTCTTAATTCAAGGCTATACTAAAATCTTAGTGCCCGTCTCAAAAGTCCCCACAGTAAGCTTGCAAGCAAGGCCTAACTAAGTCCCGTACGCATTTCAGCGGAGTTGTATCTCAACTCTGGTCAGGACTTTAGGCTTCGAGGTCACTCTGGAACGGGGCTTTAACCTAGGCGAACCTTGTTCTATATGCTATTTAAATGCCTAAGTCTGCTTCACGGTCTGGGTCATATCAACTGATACTGCATTATTCGCTCCCCCTCGTTCCCGACTCTTCTTCTAGTATTCACGGTTCTGGTAGTACTGATTGAGGTTGTAGTATTTAGTACCTTTAGTTCCTGTCGCTTCCTTGAGCTCTGCCAAACACGCCTCTTTCTGATACACCTCTAGATTAGGCCACCCATGTTTGTGATATATAGACTGTAGAAATTGCGGAACACCTTTTGGGATTTGTTCATGGTCGGTGTATCGCTCGGTCCAGATTTGAATGATGCGCGAACTACTATGAGGAATGAAGTTCAGCTTGATGAAGTGGTTCTTCAACATGATGAAGAATTGACGAATCGGCCAGCAGGGTCCCCATTCCACGTCTTCCGACTCATCATCGTCCTCGGAATCGCTAGGCTCATTATCCTCGTCGTCTGAATCTTCGGCGTCATCCTCTTGTCCCTCTGCAACAGCGGCGCTTCTTTCTTGTTCCGCTTTTGCTTCGCTCTCAGACTGATCCACCAGATGTGATGGCTGAGGATCGCACGCCTTCAAGATTTCCTCTGGGCAGTTCATCCAATACACCAGCCCAGTTTTGATGTCCAACAGCATTACGTGCTCGCTGATATTGAGAGCGTGCGTAAGGCCCACGCAGTATTTAGGAATCTTGCCGCCAAACTGGTCTTCTTCACCCTCTGTTGCGAGTAGCAAATCTTCTCCATCTGCCTTCCTCTCCTTCAGCTTGTCCGCCGAAGTTTTCCAGGCATAGAACCGGCAGCCGGGCAAACAATCTGGCCGCGCTGTATAAGGCTGGTCATCTGGAAATGGCAGATGACGCAGCAAATCTATGACTTTTGGATCTTTGCCCAGACAATCCATGACTTCGGGAGTCATGTCGGGCCAACCGCCGGGAGGTGGGTAAATGATGGACGCGGGTACATCCAAGAACATCTTGCCCAAGAAGTCGTAGAAGTCACGAATCGCGGCGATGCAATCATCGCGCGAGTAGATTGGCTCCATGGTGGGGGATGAGTTTCGAAGGGTGGTAAATGAGTTAGTTGCCATAAGGCAAACGATTATATTTATCCGGCCGTGCCGCCGTTCATGCAGATGCCAGGCGGACTTAAACTGTTACGGGTGAACGAAGGCCTAGTAAGAGACTACATCTTAATTTTAAAGTTAATAGCTATGAACCATTCTACTGTATCTACCTACATTCTATAAGTCGCGCTGTATCCTACTTTCTAGTCTGCGACATATCTATACGCGCCAGACCTCTACACTAATATATTTCTTAACCCTCTGCCTTAAGCTCTCTGAACTCCTCAAAACTCTCTCATCGAAATTGAAGCAGTTAGTCTGATGCTCATTTGCGCAAAGCGGATACAAATCTCTCTCGCACATATCGCAATACAAGCCTTCCACCACCGAGATGAAATCCGGGCCCCATGAGCGATCCATCCCACACAACTCGCTTGCACTATGCTCAGCATGGTGACTGATCCTCAAATGATCGACACAGTAGTCTCCCTTGACGCGAAGCTGTTCGCGTCTCGTCAGCATCTTCTTGATCTCCTCATCCTGCTGCCCCTGTTGAAGTGAGCGCGTGCCCCGGCGCTTGATATCAATGATAGGCTCAGCAGTTGGATCACCAGTCGGCTGGCTCGTCGGGGCCGTACTTGCTGGTGCAGGTTTGGCCGGATTCTCCGCCTGCTCCTCTTTGAACTCCTCCAGATTTTTCGCTGCCTCCGCTGGATCCACGGGTTTGCCCGCCTGATCAGCTGGGATCAATCCCGCGACGCCGCCAAAACTGCCGGTACCTGATGGTGCTCCATTGGGATTCTGTCCTTGCTCGTTCAATTGGTCTTCCACATCTTTGCGGGCCTGTTCTTCCGCTGCTGCTCGGTCAGCGGCTGCTGCGTCCTCCTGTTTCTTCTTCTCTGCTGCTTCTTTTTCCTTGCGAGCTTGGGGCGAATCTTCCACGGGTGATTTGCCAGGTTGGATCTCTTGGTTAAACAGCTTGTGTTTAGAATAGTCGCAGGTGTGTTCACGGGAAATAGCCTTGCGGGAGGGTTTGAAGAAGAACTTTCGTGGTGGCAGTGTATGTCCGTCTACCACAGCCTGGAAATCCTTATCGAAGCCTTCGTTTATGCCCTTTTCTTCGTCCACATCGGGCTCCTTGAACTTTTCCAGGATCTTATCGTAGTACGGGATGCACTCCGGTTGCTCGCCGTCAAAAGTTTTGTAGAGAGACATTCGGCCTGGAGCCTGACAGAGCGTTTGGGGATAATCTTTGAACTGTTCTGCGGTTTGCTCAGCCAGACTTTCCTCAGGAAAGCCAAAGCTCGGGAGGTGAACGGAAATAGCTTGCATGAAGCGGTCGTCGTTGCTGAGCCAAACACAACCCGGTCGAAAATCTGTGTCAGGAACCGTGTTGGGTGAAGGATAATAGAAACCTCCACCGCCTTGCTCCTGGCAAGTTTTCACATAACCGGCGTGCCAGGTTCGCTGGGCGCCCGAAGCACCTGTCACGGTCACATCTAAAGAGTCAGGCGGTTAATTCTCCTGATTGAGCAAACAGGAAGTAACGTACAAGTGACGCAGGTAGCATCGTCAGACCGGGCCTGGATCGTAAGGTACTCTGGCTCGGCCGTCCTTTCTGCTCCATCTACAATAATGAAGTCTTTTTGCTTGTTCACTCCGTCTTCGATGAGATCTCCTGATTCTGTGTGGACCCTTAGATCAGCCCTGATTGCCATGAGGCAGACTGCTGAACCGGTCAAAACATACCGTGCTTTGCAAACAACTTGCCATGAACATCGTATAAGTAAAGATTCGGCATAACGCCATTGGTACGAGCATCCTCCGTTGCACCAAGCATTGTGGAACCAATACCTATACGGGCTACTGGCTTTTCCTCGACAGGTGCTAATGCAGCAGCCATGGTGATGCCCGAGATGGCGAAATCGACTCCCATAGCAGCTGCGAAGGCCATAATGAATAGCTGAATAAAAGAACGATTCGATGAGGATGAAATGATGAAGAAGGGACGGAGTATAGGCAAAAAACTGTCGACTGAAAATGAGAAGATGTGAAACTGAATACTCCGAAGTTGTTGATGCTGTAAAAGTGTTGTTCTGTCCTAATATTCTCTACTGAGGAAGCTATTAAATATACATACCTTGAATTTGATGATGTTTCTGTGCACTCTTCACAGTGCTTGGCGTAGCGATAAATAGTGGCTTATCCGCGAAATGGGCTGTGCTGTCTGAGATCAAAACATGATTTCTAAGATTCTGAATGCGTTGCAAAGGCCTTGAAACATGATTCAACCTTGGCGTAGTCTTCAAATTCGGTCATCTTAGTAGTAGGCAACATTGTTTTTGAGGCTCGGAAGGATTCGCAGACGTTCTTGGCCTTGTTGCTTCGATATTCCCAGCGAAGTCGAAGATTAGAAAGGCATATCTGAGGTGTCATCATCCGAATTAATCCAAGTTTCAAGTACTGTGGGATTGTTAAGTGCTGATATAAAACTGGAAGCGCGCGTCAATACTGTGCATGCTGACATTTCTGTACTCAAAATAGTGCTGACTTGTACATGCACCATAAAATTCAAAGTTAAAAATAACGATTAGTGTACAAGTCTCAATTCAAGATGTTATTCTGAAGTATCTTGGGCTGGTAATCGTTGTGTCTCGATATGAAACAAAGCGGCGAAAGCTCTGCGAAAGCTCACAAATTCATTGAAGTTTTGAGATATTCTAGACGTAAGAGCATTTGGGAACCGAGAAGGAGCTACTATTGATCATGTTTCGCTTAAATTCACGCGCCTGAGTATTCGAATGTCCAGATCTCTCAGCGTATCATAATATGGCCATCGCGAACCCCATGGGTTTCTATCATATGCCAATCGCGGTAGCTCGGGATACGAGCAACCACCGTCTTCTGTGTAGGAGACGAAATACGAGTTATCAGGCATGCCCTTGAAGATGGGCCAGTCATGATCGATCCCTTGTCCGCTATTCTTACAATCGCATAAGCTCACTGGTTCCACGTCCACCGTGTCACTCCGCTCTTCTGCCGTGAAGCTGGTAGAGTATTGCAAGATGTGAAACGACATCAGGTTCGGAAACAGTCTTAGAAACTGTAGCAATGGGTCCCTAGAGCAGATGACACAATCTGGCTTTCCACAATGGCATTCCAACCAAATGTGCTGAAAGTTTACATCTTCAGTCATGCATGTGTCGAGCGCTAAATGTCGAATGACCTGGGCGTTCGGAAGTATGTGGCCTCGTCGTGTCCATGTCCGAACAAACCTTAGTTCCTCGTTATAAGCGTGGACCACTCCGATTATGTCTCGCTTCGCGTTAAATCGAAAACTTCCCGTCGATATGTGTGGTTTTTGAGAATATTCGGCCCACTGTCTCGCGTTGGCTTTCATCTCGAATACGTCTGGTAGAATGAAGGCTGTGGCGTCTCTAGCTTCTCGGCAAGTTGAACCAATCCTGCGACTTGCATCGGTGGCAGTGACGAGGTCGCGTAGTTCGTTTCCGCCATAATTGACCGGTCTTGCAGGAGCAAATTTGACATCTGTGGGCCGCTTATACATGTCGGTGTCGTTGTCTTCATTCGTAAGAGCGATGTCAAGTTCTAGAGCGTACACTCGCGGACTCTCCTGTAACAAAGATTCAATCCATATCTGTCGTCGAAGCCTGAAACGGTACCACGATCAGTGCCATGTTGAATGGTTGTTGAGGATAGGAGGCATCTTACTCGTATGGGAGTCTTGGGAATGGATTGAAATTCTGATCGAACGTCGCTGGATTGAATTTGACCGCTTCCTTGGGACGAAGTTGGTTGCCGGTAAGTTTACGGCATAGTGACGGGACGGATGAGAGTGCGCAGCCCATCTTGAACGGACGGACAGAGGTAGTGGATTTGATGTGCTAGTATAAAAAAACAGAATGCCGATGAAGCAGACAGTTCTGCGATTGGAGAGAGGGACGTAGGACGGTCGTCTTGTGCCGAAAACTGACGGCGGATTAGATAGTGAGGGCGGCACACTAGAGATGATGGTGGCAAAGAGTCACAATTAGCGGCGATGTGAGACAGGGCAATAGAACAGGGGGGATCGCGCCAAAATGCAGAAATCACCTCAAGGTGCAGGTGTGGTACGACCTGTGCGTCGCGCCTTACTTAATTTAGCCACCTCCTTGCAGACCTCGGATGCACGCGTCTGGCGAGGTGTTTCAAGGTCTAGAAAACGGCGCTTGCTCTTGTCAGATCACTTAATACACCCGAAACAATTTCAACAGCATCCATTGGACCACAAGACGATGGCTATTGTTCCTTTGATCCTGCTCTCCACTTCCAAGATGGTCGCACACAGCGCCCATAACATACCAAGGAACCTCGGATTTAGCGCCCAGCAACACCGCCTTCTGGTCGAGATGACTGTATCTCAAATCTGGTCAAGAACGATGGAATGTGATCTATCCTATCGTCTGGACCAATTCTTTCCACCTGCGTTTGAGAACCTCATCCTTCACGCGGCGAAGCAGATGAGACTCTATTTCGAGCTCACGGATTTTCCACAATCAACAAGCACGAACACATATACCGTGTTCTGAAGTGTATAAGTACTCCATGTTAAGCAGTGGATATCCACCAGACAACCTCCTTCACTCTCCTCTATTTCTTTCCTAGCATCTCATTCCAGGGACATACCTCGTTTTCTTTTCACTCAGACAAGCTTTTCCACGTTCTCTTATTCATCGGAGTAGACTTCGTGTCGTCTCAAAGATCTTTCTCGCCGTTCTAGTCCCTATTAGAACCTTTGAACTTGTTCAAAATGCAGCTGAAATCGCTACTGGTCGCCGCTGCACTGCTCAGTAACTTTGCTTCGCTAACGTACGGGCGAGCAATCGATGTACCTCAATCTGGTGAGCTATTACATCAAGATACCATACTAGACGTGATTACCAACCTGTCACTCATCAGGTATCTCCACTACGAAGCTTCCTGACACGGCGGGCGTCTACTATGAGATCGAACCCCGCATGCTGAAGGGCCTCAGGAAGAAGTTAGACGATAAACTGAAGGCCATTAGGGAGAGAAAGAAGAAAAGTTCGGACGACAAAGACGCTACTGATGGCGCCGAAGCATCCGATGATGTTCCTCTAATGCCTCCACCCGCAAGATATACTGGTCCGGCACCTAATGGAATGAATCAAGAACCTGAGCTATCGGAATGGGTATGTACATGACTTCGCCCCTCAAGTAACCATATTGCGTGCAGACGAAGAGCACGTGCAGGTGTAGCACGTTCTCTGCCTCTTTTACGCAGTTTATCATTCCAGTGTAACTAACATGCTCTAATTCAATAGAACAAATTTCTTGATATAGAAGTCAAGGAGGGTCAACTCCCACCAGCTTCTGGCGGATACTTAATGTATTCAGGTAAATGTGAGTATATTTGAACCCTCCCGTCAATTTGTAATTCCTCTTCTCCTTCTTCTTCTTTATTCTCAACAACGACAAATTTACTTCCATGTGAGCTAGAACGATAATCAAAGCTATACGACTAACGCCCCTTGTCTTCTAGCGGTCTCCGGTTTATCTGAACGAAAAGCCTTCAAGGATTCCGCAGCCGAGGACTCTAATATAGGCTACTTGAATGACTGGCATGATACATACCATGGCACGGCTGCATTCTCGATGTGGGTCGACTATCAGAAGGCGAACCCTGCCAAGTCGCACTTACCCAACTTTGCACTATCCTTTGCTCAGGCTCGTCGAGCCGCAGATTCTAAGCCTGAATTGCACATGCTATTCAGCGACAAAGAGGAACCATTGATGCGAGACCAGAGTTATTGGGGCGCGGTCGAGGCTGGCATTATCACGGGTCCTGACAGCAAAGTTAATAAGATTTGGAGATATAATGCCGACGAGGTGAAGGCAGGAGAGCCGTTGCCACCGCCGATCTTGGCCTGGGATAGAAGCCTACATGCGCCGTTTGGGAAGAAAATTGATGAGATCGATTGGAGGATCAACCCAAAGCCTGGGCCGGGTGCGCCGGACAACCATTTGGAGACGGCTGCACCAAAGGTCTAAGGCTTTTAATCCAGTAGTTTTGGCAACACACCAGGAGGTGAGTAGCCACGATATTGCCAGTGTTGGGTGGTTTTGCAGGAAATCGAGGCTTACACGGCGGGATCGTGTGGATGACAGAAGATTGTGTTTGGCGACCTGGTCCTTCGTGGCAGCGCTAGAGTCGCTGTAGTGTTAGTGTGGATGGTCGTTTTCTTTGTTTCTCGCGCAGATTTGTCTGTTCTTACCGTTATCAAATGCATAGCTACTTTTCTACCTACCACATTATACCATATACCACCAGCTCACCGAAACAACAGACGCGATGAGTTATAGTAACGTCCATCTATAAACCAATGCAGCGCCTTTGTTACTCAGCATAAACTGCCAAAGTTAGAAGTGAGCGTTGAAACCCCTCTTCGATCTACTTCTAACAATTTTATAGTAGAAGAAAGCATGGGAAGATCTCATATATGCACCTCTAGTCCTATTGTCTACACGGTGCTAGTCGCGTATCAAGGACTTATGCCGTTATCCGGCGTAATTAGTCCTGTTGCAGGGTTCTATCCCGCAACTGTGCTGAATCCAGCTCCCAAGAAAAGTTCACTTCAGGACGCGCTAGCCGTGCCATTTTTTGTTGCGACTGGTTCTCGAGTACAAAGCTGCCAAAATTTACCTGTAAGATATAGCTTCTACAACGAAAGCGAGACCACACTCTATGCTAGAAGACTGGAAAGCCTTATAGCTTTCAAACACTTCTGGGTATCCGTTCCAGACACTGTTGAACTTACATGCGTTCGAGGTCGCCAGAGACGAAAGGCGGCGTCCTCGCCATGACATGACCGCAAAAGGTAATACGGACACGTGGATCGATCTTGTGTTTTGAGCTCAAAATGCTGCTAAAATGGTTGTGAGGCTGGATTAGGTGGTTAGCTAAGCAATGCCTGAATCGCGAAAACTGTTCCCTGTTTCGGAAACTGGCAACAACATAGCATCAGTAAATATGACAGAGCGAACGAGTATCCTAACTCTCAGTGTTCTATGGTCGCATGTACTAGTTTCAAGGATTCAAGACTTCAAGTATTCTGCTGCTACTGATTCACGTAGTAAAAGCTACGGCCAATCTGAAGCGATTCCTTCATACCACGTACCTCTTGCACAAACCCTCTCCAATCCACCGATCTGATTACGCTCACTCTGCTGTCTGCCAGCTCACTGCTATCTCAGTCGATTTTCCACCGTTGAAGCCACCCTCCTCGTACGGGCAGCAGCTCACAGCGACAACCGTGTCCATCAAAACCTCGAACTCTATGAAGTCGCCCGGCTTGCTAGAGTCCATCCAACCCTTCATTGTGTAGTATGGCGTGTTCTGAGAAAGTGTTGAAAGGGTCGTGAACTTGGAACCATTCGAATTTTGCGTCCGGGTCAACGTTTTCCTTGAGATAGGTGGTCATGGCCTCGGCAAAGTTGCCTGCGCAACTCCTATGCTCAGCTTTCCCAATCTCTGCATAGAGCGCAGGGTTGCAGGCCATGTACTGCATGTCGTGCACTTTGACTCTATCTTCGACGACCTGGAACATCTTCTTCGCGTGATTGGTGTATAGGTACTGCCCAACGGCAGGAGGGGCTTGGCTGCCAAGGAACCATCTGGTATAAGAAGTCGAGAAATGCTCGCATTTTGTATCGGAGGAATAGGGAGCTCGCCATGCCATCATGTCAACGACTTGCTCCCCATGCAAATCGATGATGCGAAGGTGAGAGCCTGCCTTGACAGTGAAAGCATAACCACGCCCAGCTGGTACTACGTGTGTTTTCGCCGCACCATTCAGGGCATTGGGAATAGTGGAGGTCATTGTGCTGGGATAGAAGGTAAATGAGACAGATTGTGTTCTGAATGTCACAATGGAGGGTGTCAGATGTGAGGGCGTAAGACGATGTGAATCCTCCTTTTATACCTAGGTATTCTGCACATAGGTAACGCCAAGAGCATGCCTATGTAAGACGGAATCTTCCAAAGACTTGGAACTTCGCACCTTGCCCGAATGACAGATAAAATTGCCCAGAAGTGACAGTTTGCCTTTGGAGAATCATTGAAAATAGCGATACCAAGGGCAATCTTGAATCCCGCTCCTGGTATCAACTGAGTAGTGGACAAAACAATCTCCACACTTTTGCTTCTGCGTTACTTGACTAGCACCTTCCTCACCGGTCACATTTCACCGCGTTGAACTCATACCAGGAGCCGCATGTGGAATAGCCGTGGCGAACACATGTCACTACCACACATCCGCCGAGACGAGCGAAGATCACCTCGATGATGTTATATCCGGAAGTAGAGTTATCTACCTTGCAACGTACTAACTACGTATTACATCGTACTATTACGTAGTCCTGTAATGGGCAAATGGTATCTTTATCTTTTATTTTCGTGGCTGTTATACTAGTGGTACACGGTCTACGCTTAATGAGGAAGCCAAGCCTCATGTGCTGCATATGCAGGAAGCTATACTACGTGCCTTTCACGTCCTCCACTGACTGTATGTATCGTCTTCCAGAAAGAGAAAAGACGATCCTTCCTAGTATTACGCAAACTTCAAAAGGCTAGAGTCAGGCACCTGCAGCACGGATTTCTTCATGAACTACTCTTTACCATCACGGCGGTTAGTTCTCAAAGGAGTTCGCTTCTCGTAGTCGAGAACTTGAGAACATGGTCAATCTCTTCTTGCATACCCTACATTTCATTCCAAAATCAAAAACTCCTTTACCTTTTCTTCTTTGGGAATACTCTTCCAATTTCGCTTATAAACTTGACCCAAACCAACACGCTCATATACTTGATTTTCGGTATGGTGTACAAGCAAAACGTTGTACAACGGATAACCGAGTACATCTGGTATCTCTTCGTTGCCAAAGTACTGTGCTTCGGATAGAACAACAGCTTTGACATTCTTACGAACTGCACCAAAGCCGGCCATATCAATCCTGCCCACACCGATTCTAATGTCTTTAACATCGAACTTCGAGTCTGCTTGAGGCTTATCTGGGTTCTCCCCACCTGCTTCCTGATTGGCATGTAGCCAATACTCCTGGCGTGTCTCGATGGTTTCTTCCGGGGTTTTAGCCTTGGCATCAGAGTCCTCAAACGTCCTCCTGGATAAGTCGTTGTTCTTAACGTGAATAGTCCTTGTTATCCTCCAGGTTTGCTGATCGAGTACAAGCATTGCTGTTTCAGCAAATATCATCAGGCTTCTGTCACTGATTGGCTTGATTGGCGGTTTGAATTTGAGTCTGATTTGGTTTTCTGACTCTGATTTCAAAGGCTCCCAGTCAGGAGGGATGCTCTTGTTCATGGCCATTAGTCGTTCGTAGGCGTCAATCGGCTTGAGCAGTTTACTTGAGTGATCGAGAATCCAGAACGTGTGTTGAATTGGACGAATACGCTCTTCTGTCGAGAGTCTTCCCAGACTTTGTGCTCTCTTTCGTGCCTCCTCGTCCAGCCCTTGCGGATCGCGACGCTGAAGCATACCCAACTCCGCCGACCATACTTCGTAGGGCTTTGCGTATTCTATCAGAGCATGCAAAGCGCCGTCGCCTTCAACCTTGGAAATTTCTTCCCAGCCAAACGGAGACCAACTCGGTGGTGCATACAAGGTCTCACCGTTCTTACTACCATTTTGTCGTCGACGTGCCGGCTGGTTGGTTTGCCATAGCAGTGCAACGTCCATATTCTGGACTGGGAGCCCTTGTCTGAATGGTCCACCAAGAAGGTTCGAGCTTTCCAAAACCTTGGATATACCTCTGAAGGCGCTTAGAGTATCCCAACCATCGCCAATAACTCTTGAACTAAAATCTTCGACTGCTGCAATGTAGTCAGACATCTCCGGCCGTCTGAGTAGACGGAGACTACCATCTTTTTGTAGGCTCAGACCTACGTCTTTCAATTTGTCCCCAGAAGGCATCGAAGCAGCCAGACGGGGCCAAGGAAATCTGATTGCATGAATATCACCATCCAGAGCATTGACATCTTCCCTTAAGATACTGCGCCTGCAGTACCAGATCGCGAAGCCGCCAGTGAAGACTAGAAGTCTCCTTGACAAGATTTTCTCCTGAAAGGTCCACGCTCGTCTTTCCCAGGGTAGTACGTTCATCTTGATGCTGATGGGTAAGGACATATTGGCTCCTGGAATGACTTGTTCGCTGATTTGCTTGGGCTGACCGCGGTCACACCTTACTCCTTTCAACCCATGATCAGCATCGTGCCCGTCTGCTGCAACGATAGTAAAGACCGCATTCCTGTAGATCAAATCCATGCGTTCGAGATTACCGTCCCTATCTGCGTCGTCTCCTGACTGCATTATACACAGCTGATCAATCCAGATGTATCCCAAATCCATTTTTCTTGTGACTTTGATCGCATCCAGAATGGTTTTCGGTATACTATCTGCCTTCTTAACGAGGCTATCTTTCCTGTACAGAGTCTTCGCAGGCAATCCTTTTCTGAGCTTAAATCGGTCGGGGCAATCGAATATGGGGTTGGACCAACTGCCGTCCGGCATTTTCTGTTTCCAGCTTTTCGTCACTCCTGAGTCCGAAACCGGAACCCATCCAGGAAGTAATTCCAGCTCTCCCCATACGTAGCTGAGTGCTGCATACTGATATCTCGAGTTTTCCCTCATAACTTCTGCAAATGGAACCACCATTACGCTCATTGTTTTGACATTGATAAGTCGAAACTCGATCTCGGGGTGGGGGTCGCGAGGGGTGCCCAATGGTCTAGCGCACCCATCCTCACCGCTATGGCTTTCTTCGCACTCTTTCCTGCAATGCTTGAAGAACGGGATGTCGATTAATGGTCCCAATTTGTTCCCATACCAGAGTTGGTTTTCAGAACATCGTGGCTTCTCAGTGCTCTCGAATCGTAGATTGAAGTGAGTGATCTCTTGCAGCGGGGCCAACGGAGCCCCTCCGTGAGCGTAAACACGAACGCTTAGGGCCCCGGCCTTTTTCTCATCACGATAATAGATCCTGAACATGAAGATACAGGGAAGTCGCTTACGTCTCTTGCTCTGTGCTAAGGCGAGCTGATTGACTACTGTCTGCCCAATCGCCACAAGGTCTCGTGCGGTCTTGTCTTCTATCGTCGAGGGCGGGACCAGACCCAAGGTGAATTGCGCAGCTTCAATTACCTGTGTTGCGCTATCCCCTGCCGACCCGTACATCTGGCTGACATTATTCAACTCTGTGTCATGAGCTTCGGCCTCGGAAAAAAGCTTTTTGGCGTCTTTTATTGTGTGCTTAGATGGTTCCGATTTATCCAGAGCATGACCAAATGGCCATAGATCAGAGTCTCCGAACCATTCGCGTCTCCAGTCATTCTGTCCTTCGACCCAGTCAGACATGCTCTTGTTCTTTCCGAAGCCCTCAGGTAGATACTTTCGAATGTGTTCAGCCTTCAGCAAGTCATACTCCTCTTGACATATGCTCTGTTTCAACAATCTGCATAAATTGCAAAACTTGCTGTTGTCCAGTATCTTTGCTAAGCTCCGATAGAAAGTTTTAGCACGTTGCTTCGAGTCTGACGAGGTAGATGGTCCGTTGTTGTCGTTCGGCGGATCAGGCAAGCACTCGTGGAAGTCAATCTCGTTACATGTCGTGCAAAGTGCGTCGTTATATAGCCCCGCCGTTTTCCCTGTTCGTGCGAAGAAGTCTTTGCCGGTGTTAAGCGCATTCTTGAAGCGGCTTTTGGAAGCCGAAGTAGATTCCTCTTCGTCGGAAATATCATACTTTCCTGGTGAGTCGAGATTCACAGCGTCTGAGGTAGAATCTTTGAATAAGTAACTCGATACGTGTTTATTCTGTGGTTGCAAAGGTGGCCTAGACATGTTCGAGTCCTTGGCTGCTTACTTCAGCGTACAGACTGGAAGCTTAGCTGGAAAGCCGGAAGGTTATTTTCGAGCTATAAAGTGTAAGCGACCGATACTACTGCGTCAACTCTAGCTTGTACGAACCTCGAAATCTGAGACGCATAGGATATTCTTTTCTGTCAGCATGGCAGTGTGATGTATTAACGTTGTTGCATATTGGCTGTGTTATGTGAATAGATGTCAGGTCGTTTTCGCAGATTGGGTTTCCTTGAGAAGCAACAGGAGTGTAGAAGTAGGCTATATACCACACTTCGTAGGCCAACTGCAAGATGACGAGATGGCGTGCATGACACATATTACCGGTGAAGTCATGTTCCGCCCGCAAGGCTGAGATCTTCTCGGTATCTGCAGCCTTGCGAAGGGTTATCGTCTTGTGTAACCAATCATCCAATAGTCGAGTAACGTGGACCCATGTTGCAGAAAGCTATTCGTTGCTAGATTTTAGGCAGAATATTAAGTACCTACTGGTACAGTCAGCTCTGAGCAAAGTGTAGATCGCGCATAGAACCGATCTGCTAGTGTTAGCAGCTACCTGCGCAGCAAACGTTCTATGCTCATGACATGTGTATGAGCTGACATGCCTCACCGGACTGGACGCAAGCAATAAAGATGAACCGTAGGGAACAGGTCAAGCAGAAATGGTCGAACAAGTAAACGAATCCCAAGTTTTCCATGGTCGCATTGATTAGCTATGCTCAACAATGGATTTAGAATCCTGTGACAACTTCTTCCACCTTGCATAAACAACGAGATTCGGCCACGATGCTTCTATCTCAGGAGGCCAGCACTCCCCCGGAAAACGTCGCTCTAACATCTCTAGATCATCTGGTTCGTAAGGTGTGATGTATTCGTCCCAGTCAGCTTCCTCAATCTCCTCGCATGACATGGCCAGGTCATATAGTGTTAGCATGGCAGTCAGTCGGCCGCTGATGTCACGCTTGGGTCCAGGTAAGCTGCTGGGTTCATGTGGAGATTCGTTTGGTTCAATGTCGCGCCAGGGTTTAGGATTAATTACCTGATGTAAGAGTGATATCTCAGTCAAGGTAGGGGATGGTGGAGCGGCGCTGTTTAGAGTGTCGACAGAGTCTGTCAAATCAATGTATGCTTCTTGTTCTTCGGGAGTTGAGAAGGCGTGGTAGCGTGGGATTCTGTGTTCTGGCGCTGGAGTGTTCGTCATGTTGGGTTGAGTGGAGACTAAGATGGAGATGAAAGATAATGCAAGATGATGAGGCCTATAGTAACAGAAAAGGGAGAACATGAACGTCGAGCTAGAGAGCGAACGAGTCAAGATGACTGAATTGGAAAGTATCGTGAAGAATCATTAAGATGCTGTGACGTTGCCGCGTTTGGTATTCAATACGCCTTCGATCGCCGTTATATATCATTCACTATATCTTACTGGACACAGGTCCATCGTCTGTAGCCAGGATATCACATAACCACTCGGCTGCTTTATCAGCCATGGGTTTTGGAAACGCGTGTTCTACGCCCTCGAACAGCACATCTTCAAAGACAATGTCGAGACTCGAATCTTCGGCTAATACCTGTTTGAAGATCTTGTAGAAAGGCTCGCCAGCCGAATACGGAACGAGCTTATCGGCCTGACCACTGAGGTTTAGAATCCGCTTGCCCTGGAGTTTTTCCTTCATTAGCGCTTTCATCCTGGTTAGCTGCGCTTGGTCAGTCGGCGTGTCATCTCCTAGAGGATTGAACATGCCCGGTAACAGTAAACCTGCAGGATCATACTGGGCGATCGCATCTTGTAGCGCCTGTGGGAAGTCTGGAGAGCCAAGGAAAGCACTGCCAGGCGGTGTAGTGTCCTTGTATGTCTTTCGCTTTGACAGACGCGCGCGATCGGTTAGCAAACGCGTATAGTCTGGACAACCAATGCCAACGACTCCAGCAGTGATTCGCGGATCGCCTAGCAAGCAATGCCAGGTCGCGTGCCCACCTAGCGAGATGCCAAGAGCAAAGTGTTCTTGGATCTTAGGACTGTCCTTTGCCGTGAAGATGTAGGATTCGAGATGGTTGATGAGTTGTGAGGTATCGGTTGCCGTGCCGTGGAAACAGCCAAACATATCCTGCGCATGCGTCTCATTTCCTTCTCTCCAAGCCTGGTTGTGCAAATCGTCGACTTTGCGTGATCCGTGATTGCGCTGGTCAAAGGCAGCGGCGATCAGACCTTTAGGACGCGTGCCGGCGCGACCGTCTTGTACGCGCTTGTTCCAGGTTGAGATTACGCGCCTGGCTATCGGAGCCATGGTCTCTTTGGTCTGTAAGCGCGGATTGAGGAGCCATAGGCATGCGACTGATGACGGGGAAGCGGGTAGTTCGTCTAGGCCGTGGACGTCGACGAGGATGCCGGCAATTGTGATGGTTTTGGAGGAGACGGGGAGGTCGGACGAGTTTTGTGTCCCGTGCAGGGGATTCGTAGTCGCAGCCATGGTGAGCTAGGAATAATAGAGATGATGGAGAGGGCTTGGGCTGTTAGCGCAACCGGGGAAGAAGATGTGAGGCTCTTCGTCTCTTGTATCTTGTGATGCGAAAGCGGAGGGGCAGCACCTCCGGAACCGAGGCTGCCGTTGACGGCAGAACTACATCATTGTCTAGCATACTTAACCACGCGGTGTGCTGGTGATAGCGCGTAGACATATAACGCGAGTTTTACAGCAGTATGGGATGACAGGCCATCATGTGTACGGGTGGGAATCCGGTACGCTCGTATTCAGGAGTCTTGGTGGTACAGTGCGGGGTGCAGCCATGGCGTCAAGAGCACGAGGGTGATATCATATAATTTGCTTTGCCCCCCAGTGGAAGATGCGGTGCATGCAAATGTGACATAACAAATATACTGGAGTCGATTACAGGTATATGCATGCAGGGTGCTGCGGAGTGCAGTGCGGTGGAGCTTCAACACGGTGCAGGCGGTCAGCAAGGCGGAAGAGGGCCCCTGACGCCAAAAGTGTTAGCGCATCCAGACAGTTCACTGGGGAAAGCACCTGGGAGATTACTCGAACCGCGCAAGGACCCAGCCAGACGTTCACGGATCAGCTGCGCCGCGTGTACTCTTTTCTTCCGACTGCTGATGACATAGAATCATTACTACCAACTCGCTTCCACCTGCTCGTGGCCAAGAAATCCCATCAATCCCATCGTGACGAGTGACGGCAGCAGGTTTACTGTCAACACCATGGCGCTATAAACACCCACAAGCTGAGCAACCACAACCTTCCCCCACGCGACCTCGCCGGAAGAAGACGCCTCAGATTCCCCTTCGTTCCCCCGTGTGGTCATCATCATCGCCACCACCATGGCTGGCTCTACCAGCTCCTCGCCCATGGCGCGCAGTCCTCGGTCCAGATCGCCGGCAGTCTCAGGAAGGACAGATGACTCGGGTCGACTGCTCCCTCCTCTTGGAGCAGGCCAGGCCCGAAATGAGACACAAGACATACACAACCCAGCACCTTCAGACGGCGCCCCCAAAATCATGCGATCCGCCCCGACAGGCTCGCCCTTGTCCACCAAAGAGGCCGATGAATTTCCCTTCAATGCGCCAGTGAATGCGAACGGGGCTAGTATTCCCCTCGGAACCACTGAAGCTCCCATCCGCGCCACGAAACCCTCGTCACATATATCCAATGGCTCCGCCAGCTCCTACTACCCTCCCTTCGCGCCCATGTCTCGACACCCCACCGAGGGCGAGCTCTCCGACGCCCCACGAGAACGCAAGAGCGTGCAGTTCGCTCGTTCGGCCACATTCACATCCGACCCGCCCGCAGCAAACTCGCGGCAGCAGTCATGGGAGGTGGAAGACGGCGAAGGAAAGGGCAAGGAGCGGAGCACACAGAGCTCGTCCCTCATGGGCAAGCTGAGGGCACTGGCAGCGCCCATCCAGGGACACGGCCGGAGTCTGAGCGCTCTGACAGGCTCTGGCCAGGAAGGCGGCTCACCTCACGGCCAACTGTCCCCAACATCCGAGCTCGACGAGCCGCGATACGACAGCGAGGCTGACGCTGATGGCGAATCGAGTGCGGGCGAGGGTGCTTCGAGAAGACCGAGACAGAAGAGGCGGAAGAGCAGCCGGCGTTGGTTTGATGGCGAGGGCGAAGGCACGCAGACAGCTCCTACCACGCCCAAGCAGTCCACCGGTGGCTTCTTCTCGCGTGACTCACCCAACATGACACCCACCTCGACCCGTCCGGGCTTCCTACGCCGATCGACCATGGATGACATACCTGAGAATGAGCGCCAGGGCTACTCAGAGGACGAAGGCCGTTCGCGCATCGCAAAGGAGAGCGTTTGGACACGCGGACTGCACAGTGCGAGAGGACTTTCATACGGAGGTCTCCGGAGACACGACCCCAACGCCGAAGAATCTGAAGGACAGAGTCGACCTACGGGCAACTTGCGAAGCTTGACTACATTCAGGGGTGCTGCTGGCGAGAATGGACAACCCTCACCATGGCGCATGCGTAGCGAGCGAACGTCAAGTCTGAGTGCGCAAAAGTGGAAGTCGATCAAGAATAGCCTCAAGCTTTTGGGCAATCGTCAAAAGGCAGAACGCCAGATCGACCACGCAAAGTCGGCTGAACTCATGGCCGAATTGCTTGCAGGTGCGCCTGCAGCCTTGTTCTTTGCGAGTATGTTCCAGCGCGATGAGCATGGTCACCGAAGGATACCAGTCCTTCTTGAGCAGCTCAAGGTCACCATCACCGACACGGACCGCCCTGCCAAGAAGGAGGGCGATCGTCACACTGCATTGCGTATCGAATTGGAATACGGTAGCGGTCTGACTAGGATGAAATGGGTAGTCTACAGGAGTGTTGCCGACTTTGCAAATCTGCACTTGAAATTCAAAGTCCAGGAGAAGCAGGACGCTTTCCGTAGCCGTCCGGCTAATCGTATGCGAGAAATCAAGGACAAGGCCGCCAAAGACGGCGAGAATGAAAAAGAGGAAGAAAAAGAAGATCCACGGACGAAGCTCCCGCGCTTCCCCAGAAGTGTCTTGCCCTATCTTCGGGGACTCCGCGGCTATGGCATCCTAGACGACGAAGGCGAGGAAGAAGAGGAAGAGGTTGCAGTCGGCGGAGCAGCAAGCGGACCCGAAGGCGACGCAAGCGCTACTGAACGACCAAATAGACCCAAGCGGGGGAAGTCATCATTCCTCGGACGTAGGCAGTCGAGCGTAAGTGGAAGCCAGGCCCAGGGCGCTGTTGGTGCCCTTGTAGCGAGGCAAGGCAGTTTTGCTGGGGCCGCTGGTCAGCCTCTACAGGCGAAACAGACCCATCATGACCGGCAACGGAAGAAGCTGGAACAGTACCTGCGAGGTCTCATGACGTATCTCATCTTCCGCCCTGACAGCAATCGCCTGTGCAAGTTTCTCGAGCTGTCTGCTCTTGGTGTCCGCCTAGCGGCTGAGGGCGGCTATCATGGCAAGGAAGGTTACATGATGATCAAATCTTCAAAGGGCGTTGACAATAGGAAAGGCTGGACCAAGATAGCCATGATGAACCGTCACTGGCCAAAATGGTTCTTGGTAAGGCACAGCTACGTTGTCTGTGTAGATTCACCCGAGGAGATGAACGTCTATGATGTCTTCCTGGTCGACGCAGACTTCCATCTCGACACCAAATCCGCTAGGATAAGAGACAAGAAAGCCAGAGATCTTGCAAGCGAAGCGAAGGCATCCGCAACAGGTCATCACCAATTGAAGCTGGTCAACGCTGAACGCAAGATGAAGTTGCTTGCTCGCAACGAGAGGATGCTCCATCAATTTGAGGAGTCCATTAACTTCATGTCACAGAACACACTATGGTCTCAACGCCAGCGCTTCGACAGCTTTGCTCCTGTGCGCAAGAAGATCTACGCACAATGGCTTGTAGACGGTCGCGATTACATGTGGAATGTATCTCGAGCTATTAGTATGGCGCGGGATGTCATCTACATTCACGACTGGTGGCTCAGTCCTGAACTCTACCTGCGTCGCCCAGCTGCCATTAGTCAGAAGTGGAGACTAGACAGACTGCTCCAGCGCAAAGCACAGGAAGGTGTCAAGATCTTTGTGATTATGTATCGCAACATTGGTGCCGCTATTCCTATTGACTCCGAGTACTCCAAGTTCTCTCTCCTCGATCTCCACCCGAACATTTTTGTTCAGCGATCGCCAAACCAGATCCGCCAAAACACATTCTTCTGGTCTCATCACGAGAAGATTTGCGTTATTGACCACACTGTTGCTTTCTGCGGAGGTGTTGACCTTTGTTTCGGTCGTTGGGATACGCCACAACACGTTGTCGTTGACGACAAGCCTACAGGCTTCGAACTCGATGACACACCCAAAGACGCCGACCACTGTCAGCTGTGGCCGGGTAAGGACTACTCCAACCCCCGTGTGCAAGACTTCTTTGCTCTCGACAAACCCTACGAGGAGATGTACGACCGCTCGAGAGTCCCTAGGATGCCATGGCACGATGTCGGTATGCAGATTGTGGGTCAACCAGCTCGCGACCTGACCCGTCATTTTGTACAGCGGTGGAATTACCTGTTGCGCCAGCGCAAGCCGTCCCGGCCCACGCCCTTCCTTCTTCCACCACCCGACTTCAACCCAGCCGACATCGAAGCTCTTGGGCTGGATGGAACTTGCGAAGTCCAGATTCTACGCTCTGCTTGTGCTTGGTCGTTGGGTACGCCTAACAAGGTCGAGCACAGCATCATGAACGCATATGTGCAGATGATTGCCACTTCCGAGCACTTTGTTTATATCGAGAACCAGTTCTACATCAGTAGTGGCGATGTACTAGGGACGAAAATCGAAAATAAGATAAATGATGCGATCGTCGACCGCATCAAGCGCGCACATGCCAACGATGAGGACTGGAGAGCATGCATCATGCTTCCGCTGATGCCTGGTTACCAGAACACTGTCGATGAGCAGGAAGGCAGCAGTGTTCGCCTCATTATGACGTGTCAATATCACAGCATCTGCCGTGGCGAAGGCTCCATCTTCGGACGCTTGCGAGCTGCTGGTATCGAGCCGGAAGATTACATCAACTTCTACGCACTCCGATCGTGGGGCGAGATTGGCCCGAACAAGATGTTGGTTACAGAGCAGTTGTACATCCACGCCAAGATCATGGTTGTTGACGATCGAGTCGCCATCATCGGTTCCGCAAACATCAACGAGCGGTCTATGCTGGGATCGCGAGACTCTGAGATTGCCGCTATCATCCGCGATACTGAGCTACTCGATTCGTACATGGGCGGCCAGCCATACAAGGTCGGCAAATTCCCGCACACGTTGCGCATGCGCCTCATGCGAGAGCATCTCGGTGTTGACGTTGACTGTATCTCTGAAGAGGAGATGCTCAGCCAAATGTCTGATGCCGATAGTGTCGGCTTCCAGACTGAGTCTTCTGGACCTGGGTCGCCAACAGCTCAGCGTGCG